GCTGATAAACAGTTCAACAGATCAAAGGAGATATTTTGGTGCTGGGTATCACTAATCCCAGCTGACCTGGCTGGTGGAGCAGTTTAAGAAGCTCCTGTTTAAGAAGCTCTCCACCAGAGCACATTTCACCAGGTTACCTTGGGCTCCCCTAGGTGTCCTGGTTGTATGTTTAATTCTAAATGACTCAATAAAACCAGATCAGACTTGTGGCTGGGGAGCTCTCAGATTTTGAAATTAATGCAAATTTCATAGGTGGTTCTTGTGCATCTCAGGAATTCCCTGTACATCAAGCCAGTCATTTTTTCCATATATGAGCTTTGCTTTTAAAAGTGCAGTAGATGATAAACATAAATGTTTCATTTGTTATAAATATTTAATAATTATGAAAAATTGATGAGTAGGTTTTAAAGCAAACTGATTGGAGCTGTGTGAAATTAAGGCTACCTTTGTATAATTTTCTAAGCTGTATTCTAGATATTGTCTGGGCTCTGTCGTGCTATAGAGATGCAGGCATGGTTGGTACTGTCACAAAAAATATCAGCAGATGGGAACAAACAGAAAAATACACTTTTAATAGCTATATTGGCAATAAAATTAATATGGAGGATTTCCTCATGGATACAACAATTTCTGTATCCACCAATTTTCATTCTATTGTAATTTATTCTTTATGGATCGTTTAGAGATGTTTTTTTCAAGAGAATGTGTTTAATAGCACAGCACTAATAGCTTACTGTGATTCAGTGACTTTCACCTATTTTGCTTTCAATTTTTTTTCTAATTGCCTTTGATCTCCCCGGGGCTTTGAAGCCTAAAAAAACTCATATATTGCTTATCCAATTAGCAGGGTTCTTGCATCTCTGAAAGATTTCATCAAGGATGCTGCTTTCTGCTGCCTGCACTCAGCTGAGGGGCTGTCCCCAGATGATTTTGGGTGTCTCACACAGCCACAGTCCCTTTGCCAATAGGTGCCACTGTTGCTCTACACGTCTGAGCCATCAATGTCCTTCACTGGAAAACTCAACCTTGGAAAAACAATTTAATCACAGCTACTAAAATGTTGCAGAGGTAAAACTCCATCCAAACCATGGCCAGGGGCTTGTCAGTGCCAAGACTTTGGTGCATGCTTTATCTGTTCCTAAAAATAATTACAATATTGCTAATCTTGAGCAAAAATGAACGGCATTAAATTAATTCCAGATATATTGAATGCAAGCCTTTAACTTGCTGCAGGTTTATTTTTGAGCCTCAGACCAAGAGCAGCTGAGCTTTGCAGATCTCTGTTCTGGGCCAAATGGGATTTAAATGCAGAAGTTGCACATTGGAGCAATAAGAATTTGGACTTGTTAGCAGCACTTCCTACATAGGAACAAAATCTCAGGGTGGTTTCCAGCAGTGGAAAGGCCTCCCAGAGTTATTTCTTCCACGTTTGCAATCTGGTAATGCAAGGCCAGCTAAAGTAGTTTGCTTTGCAGCTTTTCTGCCATTAAGTGCTTTCCCTGTGTAAAGCCAAGGGGAATCAAGGTCTGCCTGCTCCCTGCCTGGGGAGTAACCTTGCTTCACCTTGTCCTTGGACATGCAGCTGTTTCCTACATTTGCTTTATTCTTAGATGTTTCAGACATACTATGGAATAACACAAGGTTCTTTTCTCCTCTTTCTTCAAAGAAACACATAGCAAGCTATGCAAAAATAATAATAATTAAAAAAAAAAAAAAAAACAAACAGAGGGCAAAGCAATTAAGAGTTTTGTGTCCTTTCAAGTTTCATCCCACGTGTTTTGTGTTTTGGCTTGGTTGTTTTTTATACTGCAACTATTTATTGACTAAAAACCAAGAGATGAAAAATTTGTTTTGTAAAATTTGTTTTGTAAACTTGTGCTTTAATATCTTCAGAAATAGTGCTTGCCACCTGCAGGTCAGGATGCAACCCAGCAGCTTGTTCTAGCTGGTCTAAAGCTGTGTGCCTGTATAACCTAATTCTCACTCCTGCACGGAGCAGCTCCCACAAGGAACAAGCTATATTAAGCACTGCTTAAAATCACTCTAAGCAGTTTATACAGGGGCATCCCCAGCTTCTCTGGATCTCACAGTTGCCCAGCAGTTTGCAGATATTCTGCCCCTCTTCAAAGTCCAGGATTCTACCCAAGACTTTGGGGAAGAGATCCCTGGTTGGGAAGTCATGAGTTTTGGTTGGTTGTGCCAGCTGACAAGTAGGAAAAGCAGAAATTGTTGGGCTTTCACAGGAAATTGGGCAGACACTGGACACCACTCAATTTCCTTCTAATGTGGTTTTTCATCAGGTCTTCAATGTGGCCATAGAGAGTGGGTTATTCTGAGGCAAGATTAAATGTGAGAAATTATATAATTAAATTTTTGGTCCAGGTGTTTTTACTCTGCAGTTGTCACAGGGAATGTCTGTACTATTTTGACAGCAGATTAAGGACAAAATGGATCTTTTTTGTTCTCAGGACATGTGTGTCCACGCTGGAAGAAAAAATCACTGTTAGACACTGACAGATGCAGTCCTGTTATCAGTCAGGAGTCCTGATTCTTCAGACCCTCTCTGGTAGATCCTTGAAAAGTTAGCACAGGTAACCTTTTACTTAAAAATTCAAAAATATAATAATACTCCATGAATTCTCCTGCTAGTTGTATCCCACAGTTCTCCTTGTTTTCAACTGATATTGGATAGGGGAGAGAAATCTCTTCATTGACACTCTCTCTCACTCACTGCTTCTTGTGGTGAATATGGATTGTTGTATGAATAACACTTGCACTTTATTAATCCAAAAAATAAGGTATTGACTGGGTAAGAAAGTAGCCAAAAGTCACCACAAGATCCACTTCCAGAATTTAAACAGAAGGAGGTTCCTATCTCTAAATCTATATATTGACCAGTGCACCATGTTCCATATCATTGAATTGGGGTTTTTTTTTGTGTTTTATTTTTTTGTTTGTTTGTTTGTTTGTTTGTTTGTTTGTTTGTTTTGTTTTGTTTTTGTTTTTGTTTTTTGGTTTTTTTTTGTTGGCATTGTTAATGCCAAGAAGTACCAAGAACGGGGAAATCTGATTTCGGAGCAATCCAGGCCAGCTTGCACTCCAGCTGGGGAGGGGAGGCAGCACAGGTTGTAGCTGTGCCCATTGCAGTTCTCAGCACACTCTCACACTAAATTTTGGCTTCTTGCTTCCTCGTGATGGATGAAAAGTGCTGCAGTGGCAGGCCCCAAAATGAGATGCACGTGATGCTGTTGTGCAAAGCATTCAGATGGCTCAGTGTGGTTTTGAGTCAGTCTGCATTTTTGCCACTGATATCACAAACCCTTGTCAGTCTTTGTGTTACTTATCGTTTAATCCCTGAAAATAAAGGCATTTGCATTTCAAGTGAATTTCCACTTAACTTAAGCAACTGCATCTGGATGTCATGAGATCTGATCGGTCTGATTTCAACACTCGCATCATGGATTTGCAGACACATTTAAGAAGGCTGAAAATGAAAAGCTGATTGCCTTGTGCTGCTTAAGGGTTTTGTGCAGCAGCATTGCATATCCAACCTTCCAGCTGCCTGTCTAGAGAGAAAGACAACAGTACTTGGGAGTGGAGAGGCACTTGTTGGAAGGGACATTCTAGCAGATGATGCTTGTGGGAAAAGTATTGTAAAAGATCTGAGCCTTATTTAAGTGCAGTTTCTTTATATGAATTGGAGGTGTGCTGCTTAAAATAATCCTATTTTACCAGCAAGCTGCTATTAGAGCCCAGGAAATGCCCTGAAGATCCAATACCCAGTCCCAGGTGGGAGTAACAGAGTGGTTTTCTTCATGGTCGCCCCAAGGCACAGAGTGAGAAACACCCAGGGAGTCCCAAGCAGGATGTGCTGGATGCCTGCCTCGGGAAGGATTCCCATTGGAATCCAACCTACATGGGAGCTCTGGGGCCTTTGAATGGCCTTCCTTTACACATACAGTTGTTTAAGGATATATAAGATAGGATTTAAGTATTAGTCACAGATCATCGCTGCCTGGAATGTACAGACACCACAGCCCTACACTGGAATTTTCTGTTCCTTACCTCAAATTTCCCCATCGTGGTTCTCCTCAGTTTGGTCATTGAGCTGGCAGCAGATGATGCTGCTGAGTTTATAAATGTGAGAGATACACAATGCTCAGAATTTCTGAGGCAGCCCAGTAATCACAGCAGGTCTGTTCCAGTGCTCCTTTATTCATCTACACAAGTGCTTTTTTGGGAAGAAGTCTATGTTCTTTGCCTCAGCTGGTAAAGTCAACTGGTAAAATCAGCCACTGTAAAATTTTGGATTGGTTCCGTGGTGTGAATAAAAGATATTGTATTGCACTTGAAAATTATCTGTGCTTTGGTTAATTTGGTTGAGTATCTTCACCTGCCATGGGAACTAGCATCTGAAAAGGATGAATGAACCATTTGCCCCTCTCTCTTTGTTCTATTTCTGCTGCAGCAGACTGCAACACAGTCTGGCACAGGAAAAAAATCTAAAGGAAGCAATTTTAGCAGAGTCAGGAGGATCTGCTTGAACAGCTCTAATATTGAACCTAACTGGCATGTTTTGACAAAGTTAAAAGTCTAATGACAAAATTTTGCTGAGCTCTTAAGCAGGGCATGAAATCTATCAAGCAGCTCTGCTAGAAAAGATGCTCGTGTTTCTACAAGCAAATGAGACCGATATCCAGATTATTAAAGATCCTCCAAGTATTAATAAGTATTAAATTCTGGAAGGATTACTGAAGTCTCTTGTGCATGATGTTGGTAAATATTATTGTCTATATTGATGTATAGTTGTGTTTAAGGGGTACAGCAGCCTCAAGTGACTGACCCTAATGTGGGTGAAACATTGCCCAGTAGTCCAGTGCTAAAACTGGGGCAGAAAGGGGCTCCAATCCTCCCTGTGTGCTGAGAAACATGGGTGATGTTGGCCATGGAACCTTTTGTTTGTTGTGCCCACAGTGACAGAGACCACGCTTGACACAGCATCATATTTCCTTATTGTTATATTTATTATTTTATTGTCAGTGGCTCATAACCCACTAACACCTGCTGGGTTTTATTCTCACACCACACACACCTGCTAACACACAGCTTCTCTTCACACACATATATTTTATTTTAAACAACTGGAACAAACCAGGATGCCCATTCAAAGAACTGTTCTTTACTAGCAGAGCTAAAGATAAGGGCTTGCAGCATGGTACAAGCTTGTATAAGGTTTGCATATTCCATTTTCCAACTAAAAGCTGGAATGAGGTTCTGATGAGCCTTGTTTATCATTGTTAATGGCTGCCCCTGATTCACTACCCTTAACCTGATATTAAATATCCTAAAAAGATATTTTCCTAGGTTGAGGCATGAACAGACTCATGGAATCTACGATGTTTACTATAAGCTTTTTAAGAAGTTAACAACCCTGTCCAATCCCCTTTTCCCAGATGGAAATGAGAAACCACAATAATCATATAGGCTTATGATTCCATGGAATCCATCTTCAAGGTGGTACCAGGTCACTGGAACCCCATTGTCCTCCAGCCTCTTCTTGTACAACAAGCCATCGTCCCGCAGCA